TTTATAACCTTAAAAATATATACAAACAATATTATGAATAAATTTACAAATAAAACTACAAAAAAATTCAAAATCAAAATCGATTTTGTCGAAAACTGATTGTGCGTAAAATTTCCCGTTTTTCCCTTAATTTTTAGTTTGCTTATCCCGATTATTTAAAAAAATTATTTTGACCCCCAAAGTACCAACTAGATTCACTTTCTGATCGAATAAGGTACTGAAGTCAAAAATCGAAGCACTTTTTCTGCCCCAAAACGTGATGACAGACACAAAAAAAAAAATATTCATGGTTTTGACGAATTTTTGTCAATCTTTGAACTTCAAATGCTAATAAAAAAAAATTGTACCTATGTATTCTTATAATTTTTTAATCACTATAAGAATAACTTATGAGGAACTCTGTATTAAATTTTCAAGTATTTTGATAAGGCCAAAAACTTTTCAGAAAAATTGAAAATTTCAGTTGTCTATAAATATCTCAAAAAAGTCAAAATATTTTGAAAATTAAAACATGTAAAGAAAGTGCCAATCTAAATAAATTGTGACTAACGATTTTTAATTTTTTTTAGCTACAATGAGAACAACTCATAATAGGAACCTTGTATTACATTTTCATGTTTTTTGGTCGTCCAACATTTTTTTTTAAAACATGAAAATATATACTCATTAATAGTTACCAGTAAAATATATTTTTTCTCAAACGCAATGTTGAATAAATGTAGAGAAGATTTGTATCAGAATTCACTAGACATAGTATAATTTAAAAATATTWAATCTATTTCTGTAGTTTTTATATCTATTTTGAATGTTTGATATCGTTAACTTTTATTYGTGCTCTATGACGGTGACAATTTCATATATTCATTGAATTTGTAAGCCCTGAATACCAGCSATTGGACCGAAGAATGAACTTTGATTGATTAAAACTTGTCATACAAATGAAACCCAAAAATAATGTATATAAGTATTTTATCAATTATTAGACGAAGATAAGATTAGTAAATCGACAAGTTCAACAATTTTTACAATCCAACAAATAATATGCAATCAATTTAGACGTTCTTCAAATAAATACCATTTAAAATTCATATAAGATTATCAGAATCAAATTATATAATTATATGCATTATATTCAAAATAACCTAATGATTATAATTAACAAAATATGATTTTTCAAAAACTTCTTATTGTATTAAATTTTTTATTCTAAATGTTTAAAGTTTTTAAACAAAATATTAACATTTTACGTTTTATTAATTGTTTACAGGATTATTGATATATTTGTTCTATGGTATCGGTCACAGTTTAGAAGGAAATAAGCAAAACATTCACCAAAATACAATTCAAATCAATTTGAGTTAGGTCCTTGAACATTTCTAAAATTACCCATAAGTTTGAATCAACAATCAACTTAATTGGATTTCTCATTTATTTTTAAAAATATGTGTTTGTAAAATGAATGACCTTTATTGTATAGGTACTTAACARTATTAATATTACTCGTATAATATTTTTGATAAACATATCCATCATAATCAACATCATTGTCCAAAAATATTGTTATATCAAAAAGTATTTTAGTTAAAGTAATATAAATGTCACGTATATTTGAATTCTTGATCCATTTCACGAAACGAAACTTCATTTTTTTAAATCACTTCATTATGTAGAAATTCAGAAATGTAGTATTATGAAACTTGTGTCATCATTTGTATGTACGAGTACGTATAACGTAAGATTAATACATATTATATTAATTATAAACATACTAATAATACATAGTATGAATCCAGTATGTATTTTTGTTATGTAACTATAATAGTAACTAACTATACGGGTAATACATGGACATCACACTATTCACAATTCACACTCGGCCACTCAAATCAGATATTCAGATATACACAGTAATTACTTATTACTTACTAACATGATATATTATTAT